CATACATAGGAATTGCTTGTGAATTTGTTAAATAGCGTTGTTCGCTTACCAAGTGCACACAGGCGCCTCGATGAAATCACAAACAAGGAAAACCTGATTTTGAGATGTGTTTACGAATTTACTAGAGTGCACTAAAGCAAAAAGTTAAAAGAGTTAAAAATTAAACCAAAAGTAACTAACTATAAAAAGCACGGAGAAGGTAAAATAAAACGCAAATTCAGGAAAGCATAAAGAGGCAATATGGAATTAAAAGAGAAGACTAGAGACAAAATGAACGACACAGAATTTGGAAATAGATGAAAATTAAAGGACGAAAAAAGAAGGGCGGAAAAGGAATGAGAAGATGGAACAGAAAAAATTAAAAGAGAGTAATCGTAGAGCTGAAGGGTGATGTAAATGGGGAGCTGGGTGAAACATGCAGTCGACGTCGCGAGCAGGATTCGAACCTGCGCAGGAAGTTCCCAATGGATTTCGAGTCCATCGCCTTAACCACTCGGCCATCGCGACACCCTCACTCGCTCACTCCTCACCATGCAGGCCTCCACACGCCCATACACCGAGGCAGCAGATGTTGTGCCGCTATCCTCAATGAACGACATCTCGCATTCCATGCCGATGCCCAATGCAGTCTGCTTGACAGAGGAGAGATGGGGTTTAGCTAACACATTACCACCTCCACGGCTAACACGACGATGACGGCGTGGAGGAGGGACGTGGACATGGTCATGCAGGTTGGCATTGGCGAAGTTGGTGGTCCGTTGAGTGCCAGTGGACAGGGTGCCCGTCACGGAGTCTGGCGCCTTGCCCATTGCACCGTTAGTCAGCTCAAAGGGGACCTTGTCTACCTCAGCATGTGCCATCTCTTCCATCTCCTTGGGCTGATCCAGAACCGATTCTACCCACTCTCCCACCATCTCACTCATCAGTCCCAACTTCATCATCTCCTTTGACAGGTTACACATCGTTGCACGGAGCTCGGAAACCTAAAGTTAAAAACTGCCCATGCATATGTTTTTAAGATAGCGTATAAAATGCACGCATGAAGACTGCTTTGTGAATCGAAGGACTTCAGTGACAAGTTGGGACAAATGAGCGAGTTTGGAATGGACTATGCACTAATAGGAGTATCAGTAGAGGAACACGAAAAGACTACACTATTGTAGTATTTCTCACACTAAAATTCAACTACATGGTGCTTCAGGTATATAACAACATCAAAAGAAATCGCAAGCAGGTGGTGAAGACGACTCAGTGTATGAAATAGAATGACGTGATTTGAACACGCAACCTTTTGATTTGGCGTCAGACACGTTACCCTTGAGTCATGGAGTTA